TGCATTTGCTTGTAAGATGCGTTTCCACCAGTAACATAACGTCAATATGGTTTTCGGTCAAGAATTGTGACAATTCTACTTTATGCCGTGAGACAACGTAGGCGTTCCAGATTGATATTGGTAGAACCTGCATAGATTATTTAGACTGTTGTGCTACGAGTAGCTGTATCACCATGTTCTGGTCTTGAACAAGTGTTTGCATGGTCGTTTTCCTGAATGACATAAGCTCCATCATACTTTTTTGGAGGGTAAGCATCATAGTTTCCGTTTTGCTGTGTGGCTGTTCTAGCGCCTGTTGAGCGCTTAGGCTGAAATGGAATTTCCATTCCTCATACACCATACATCCTCTATAGTTTGGCGTGTGGTTGCCTCCACAGTTTCCACATTTCTTCACGGTACTGTCCTTGTTTTTAGTGCTGTGAGCGGAGTTGTGGGCGTCCCCGCAGACTACACAGACTACACAGTATGACCTGGTGTGTCCATACTCTTGGCAATTAGTGCATTGCACTGGACCGTTGCGTTTATGTGGCTCTTCAACAGTGATTTTCCGATGCAAAAGATATTGCAGGTTGTAGATTGGGTGGACTTCGTTCTTCTTCAGCGACCTGCTTTCTGGCTCGAGCTCGACCTTTAAGAGGTTTTGTTGTAGTCTCCTGCGGCTATAAAACGATCCCCAAATTCTTCCCCGATCCCCATAAATTGTCCTTCCGAGATTGAGAAACAAGGAAGGCAAGAAAGGTAAACGGCTGCGATGGAAAGGCTTCCGTTGCTTGACTGAATTTGTATCTGATGTGCCCTGCAAGAAGTTTGTTGCAAACCTTTTGTAAAAATGGTGTTTAATGCGTTCTCTAATTAGAACTCCAGTTCCGACGCGGCTATTTTTTGTTTTATTGCCTGCCGGATTACTTTGCGGACTAAGCTTGCGCGTAATTTGGATGTAGCGATCTATTTCAGTCTGTGTGGCCGGGGACGCTTTGGTACTTTCCGAAGTCTTTGCTTTTGCACTCGCTGTAGTCGTTGACGTCGCGGTTCTTTGAATTGCAGTGATTGCCGCTGTGGTTGCAGAAATTGTAGCACTGCTTGTTGTGGGTATGAAATTTTTTTTTGATATTGGAGGGGGAATTTTACACTGCGAGCTCCATGACGCGGGAGTCGAGTGAGCAGAGCGGGTGAGCAAGATCGTGCCCTTTGGGTTTCAGCGGTCAGTAGAGCCGGGTCGCCGAGAGCTCTTAATCGCTGATTGAAAAAATAAGATTTGCTGTTATATGCGTAAAGTTGATCTGTCATTTAAGGCAGACAGTAAGTTGTATGAAAAAATTTTGCGAATAGATCGGCTTGACAAGAAGTCGCACATGAATTTTTAAACGAAAGCAGTGGAGGAAAATATACATGCTTACGTTTAGTGTTTACAAAGTTATAAAACTGCTTCGGATCCTGAGAAACCTTACCTAGGGACATATCAATCATGCCCGCGGAGAAGTCGTGGTGGGTGATAAGTGATAAAAAATGGGGAGTTATCGACATTAGAACAATATTAAAGTTCTGTTAATATTAAGTTATTATTAAGAATATTAATAACAATATTAGTTCTGCAATATTAAAGTCACTCAGAGCTACAAGCTGGTTACCATCGAACATAAAATTAAATACCTTAAGTCATAAGTATTGAATTACGGACAACGCTAATTTACGCTACTAGGCCGATGTTCCTGGACGAAAATGTTCTCTAGCCAAAAACTGGGTAACCAAATTGTCTTGAACATCAGCGCGGACCCACGAATCTTGAAATAATACGTGCGCCTTATACATTTAAAAGTTAGTAACCAAAGTTGGTATTTTTGCCAAATACCAAAATACCCATTCCTGCCTTCAAAATACACGAAAGTTGGGTTATTTCCGATTGTTCAGTTATATAGCAGCTATAGAATATATTCTTATAAAATGAGAATATATCCTTATAAAATTTGGTGCGTAATTTTATTTTGCCAAAAATATCATTTATCCGAAATCATTCATACTCTCTAACTCTAAAAACACTAAAGTTATAGTTTTTCCAATAAATGAGTCATATGGCAGCTATAAGATATAGTCGGGCGATTCCCGCCATTCGTACTTATATACTTCGAGTAAAGGAAAGAAAGGTGCGGGCAACGCCTTAACTCTAAAGCAGTGGTGCCCAAAACTGCCTTACGGCAGAGCATGAAACAATACATATGAACGAAATCACACGCACACATAGAACGAAAAAGTCGGTGTGTTTCAAGAAGTTCACTGAGAGAAAAGAAATGTGTAGTTTTTTTTTATTATAGTTATTATATTATTAATAGGTAGCTTTAAAAAAAAAAAATAGGTATTAAATAAAAAAAATAGGACAAAAAAAAAAAAATTAATAATAAAATAAAAAAAAAATTATAATAATAAAAAATAATTAATTCTTGTTTAAAAATTAAACTAAATTTAAAAACTCATCAATATTTATATTAATTTTAGTTGTAGATAATTTTAAAAGGGCCTCCAAATTGCTATTAGTTAATCGGTTTCTATGATTATTTTTTATTAACTTAAGAGTGGAAAATGCGCTTTCACAAACATACGTACTCCCAAACATAGAATACATATTCGCAATATGTTACTACGCAGAGACGTGTATTTTTTGACACCTTCACATTTCCAAAAATCAAGCCCTGTTAAATTGCATGCCCTTAGTTCATAATCGGATTGCATATCACACAACTCCAATTGAAACGCAGGATTTTGATCTAGTATTTTGCAATTCATGGGGTTATAAAAAATATCCATACTATTTTTAATATCATCAAAGTCCATAAAACGTTTTTCAAAATTAAGTTTTAAAAAATTAATATGGTTATTAAATTCAGTAAAATCATAAGAAATAATATAAAATTCGTCAAAAACTAATTTTAATGAAGGAAAACTACTTAACTTACTGGGTTGTAAGTCAAATAAAAATACATCGATTTTTTTCAAAAACCCTTCAATGGAACCCATTAACTGAAAAATATGCCTATTTTGACCTTGAAGGTTGCAGTTCAAATTGTTAAGGTGAGAAGTTAAGTCTGTTAAAAATCCAAGACTGATGTTGAAGTATTGTGATTTTATTTCGCTTAAAAATTCGAAGCTTGCATGTTCTGTTCCAAGAACTCAACCAACTCCTTTCTAAGCTCAAAAAAGCGCTTAAGGCATTTTCCACGACTTAGCCATCTCACCTCCGTGAACAAAAGCAGGTCCTTATATTGGGTCTCGCACTCTTCAAGAAATAATTTAAGTTTACGGTGGTTTAATGAATTGTGTCCACCACGCAACTTATTAATAATTTTAATAACCACATTCATAGTGTGTATGTTACTTGTCCATTTGCAGCACAAGGACTCCTGATGAATGGCACAATGAAAAGATGGTACCTTTATGTCATTTTTAACCAATTTCCCTATAAACCCATTGTTTTTTCCCAACATAGCAGGAGCACCATCTGTGCATACGGATGCTAATTTTTTTATTTCTTTGGCTAACGTTAATTTTTCTGATACCGCATTATAAATATCAATTCCACGTGTATTTTCTAGAAGTGGAATTAGTCCAAAAATTTCTTCAGTAACATTGAAGTTATCGGCGACCATTCGGGTTGCTAATATTAATTGACTGATGTCGCAATTGTCGCAAGACTCATCTAACGCAATAGAAAAATAAGAACACTACTTTAACTTTTCCCTTAAGAAAGAATTTAAATATGTGTTTAAATTTTCAACTCTACGTGTTACAGTAGCTCTGGACAATGACACGGTATCGATTATTTTGGCTGTCTGATCACCAATTTCCCCAAAACAACCTAACATTTCTAGGCATACCTTTTTAATAAAAGGGCCATCGCAAAAGGGCTTACAATGTTTGGCAATGGCTAAGCTGGCTACATACGATGCTTTTATTGCCGCTTTACTATTAATGTCCTCAGTTAAAATAATTTTTTGTTGCTGCATGGATATTTCTTCAACATTATTTTCTATATGTCAAAGTATTTCTTCTGCATCATCGCTGTAAAATTTTTGAATAATGGCTTTGTGGTCTGGAATCAATCCATTCACGACATCCGCCCTATGGCATAATCGGAAATGTCGCTCAAAATTGTATTTCTTATCCCCAATCAAAACCTTTTTGCAAATTACGCATTGCAATTCGCATTTAAAATTTTGTGCAAAGAAAATGGTCTCAAAATTCTCAGTCATTTTTCAGATCAAAATAAGCATCAACCGCTCGCCTCGCTTGCTCGCTAATAAGTGCAGTCCAGCTAAATCTCAGTGTAGGCAAGAGACCTGCCTCGTGAGAAGGCAATATCTCCATCTCTTTTGCACACACATAAGAAGTATCGGAACTCCAACAACAAAATTCATTCGGATTAGTACGATTGAGGAGAATAGGGAAAACACGAAAAATTGTTTTTGTAATTGCCCTTTGCTTATGCTGGGACCAACGATGCTTATGGCGTGAGGAACGAGTCTTATGGCGTGAGCAGTCGCACACAACTCGGTAGGCATGAGCATTTGCAAAAACAAATGAGCAGCGAGAGCAATGGGATGAGCACCACTGCTCTAAAGCTTTAAAACTGAGAGACTAGATTTCGTAGAAACAGACAGACGGACAGACGGACATGCTTATATCAACTCAGGGGGTGATCCTGATCTATTCTTGATCAGTCTTCTATCTTACAGTCAGAATAGTTACAATCTATTCTTACAGTCTTTATAGGGTCGGAGATGATTCCTTCACTGCGTTGCACACTTTTGACTAAAATTTTAATACCCTCTGTATAAAAATAAACAAAATAAAAAAAAACATTTTAAAATATTTTTTTTTAGATAAAGTATAAAAAGACACTTGTTGTGCAAGAAGAGCTTACTAAAACTAAGTTTATACATCAAGTATAAATTATGTAATTATACATATGTGTATGATAATCTTAATAAAATCATATTTTTTAATTTTAGGTCATGCGAAAAATCGGAGGTGGTGGCTTTGGAGAAATTTATGAAGGTCAAGACCTTATTACTCGCGAGCAGGTGGCTTTAAAGGTAGAATCTGCTCGGCAGCCAAAACAGGTGCTAAAAATGGAAGTGGCAGTTTTAAAAAAATTACAAGGAAAGGAACACGTGTGCCGTTTTATAGGATGCGGTCGTAATGATCGATTCAACTACGTTGTGATGCAACTGCAAGGAAAAAATTTAGCTGAGCTCCGTCGAGCTCAGCCCCGCGGAGCTTTTTCTCTCAGTACAACTCTTAGGTTAGGCTTACAAATTTTAAAAGCCATTGAATCGATACATTCTGTAGGTTTCCTTCATCGTGATATAAAACCGGTAAGCTACTTTTTTTGCAAATTGTAATTTGTAAAAGAAAATTTGCATATTTATTTATTTTTTCTCCTAATTATTCTCCTATTTTAATTTGTACTACAATTAAACTTACAATCGTCAATCAAATAAAATATAATACATTTACTGAATATAATTGCGCAATTTTCCAACTTTGCAAGGGACAATCGTACGTATTTTAACTAAAAACAGTGTATACTGTTGTATGCTGAATAGAGACTGAAAAACAGAAAGCATTCAATGAGAATATGAGCGTAAGATGAACGAAAGATGAGCGTAAGAAAGAGAGTAAGATCTCGGTCTGGGGACTGATGGGGCCTGTATTCATATTTGCGACTATATCGATGTACATATGAAATGGGTAGTCTATATGCTGTATGGTTAGTGCCGGAACTCATCCCTTCCAACCAGTATTTAACTTACCTTTTTACCTTAAAGCTAACTTCGGGCGAGGCCGAAGTTGATATACCTTTGCAGCTAAAACCGGAAACTTCGTATATAGTTGCTCGATCCTTATGAGAATATCATAATATAACCAATTTATTACAGTAAAGCTACAACTAAGCTTCTATCTTCAAAAATACCAAAGTTGGTATTTTTAGCAGTTATATGACAGCTATAGGATTTAGTTGGCCGATCCTTATGAAATTTGGTATGTCGTATTTTGCTAAAAATAGCACTCATGCAAAATCCGAAGTCTCTAACTCAAAAAACAACAAAGTTACAGCATTTCCGATCAATCAGTTATATGGCCGTTCCGACTTATATACTACGTGGATCCGGCTTTCCTGTCTTCTTTTTGTACCCTTTTTTTTAAACTTTTTTAATGACATTGAGCCATTCACTTTTAACAATGCGCCAATTAAACCATTCAGCCATTGTTGAAATTGAAAATCTAATGTTGCAATTACACTTGGTATTTACATTCGCGTCCTTTTTCGTTTGTATGGTCTTAATTGGAGTATAAATAATTAGCACAAATATCTTTGACGGTATATAAAATACAAAATTTAAAATATATTGAAGATGTACAAAATATATCGACATCTTTTACGAAATTTTTGGTCAGTGGGACGTAGTTAAGTCCCTAAACTATATTCTGATAGTTCTTGCTTTTAAAGTTTTTCTAAGTACACCACTTTTAGAGGTTATCGATTCTGCAAAAGGGGGAGGAGTCGTCATTTAGGTAGACTCTAACCTTGCGTCTGAAGAGGTAAAAGCACAAGATTATGGTGATATTAAATTTATTTGTGTTAAAATCATTTTGTCAGGTAAATCTTTATTACCTATTCATATCTACCTCATCATTTGTACGCTATTTAATCTTTTGTCCGATTGTGGCCAACATGTAGCTCTAAGTGACATTAATATCCCAGATCCAAAGTGGTTGATAACTCACCATCTTTATCACGCACCACGACTTCGCCGCGGGCATGATTGACATGTCCCTAGGTAAAATTAACCATGTTCAAAATCCGTTAGTTCAGCTAATATTACTTATGATTTGTATCTGATCCGGATGATACCACAGCATTTCCCTTTTCAATCCCAGATGATCCTTGCGTGGCAAAAATATCAGCCTTACGGAATTCAGATCTCAAACCTAATAGCCTAATCGATACATTTGATTGGTCCGATATTTTGGCATGCACCGATATAAATGTCACCTTAGCAGGTTACCATGGTTAGGTTAGCATAGATTGAGGCGGGGATACCTGTAGCTGGCCACCCATATCCACTTGAACAGAAGGTGTGTGACCGTCTCCTCCTCCTCTACAACACAGCAGCTCCTACAGTATCGTAATGTGGTACCGATACTCTAGCCGGCCAGTGGCACATGATGCCATCGCGTTGAAAGATATTCGACAGTCAATCACTGTCCTAGGCTTATGTCAGAGTACGCGCGGCAAGCGAAGCGATGCCAAAAGTGATGAGCAAAGCGATAAGATGGCAGAGTGAGAGCTTTGCGAGAAGTGACCTACATTGTTCTATTTTTAAGTTATTATTGTGATCGTGATGTATTCGAACTAAGATTTTCTTGCTTTAAGTGCAACACTTAACTTTTTGTAAAAAGTTGGGAAAGGAAAAAGGAGAGTTCAACAATTTAAATAATGACTTGCAAAACCACCCAGAAAAGTTTTTTAACTATTCACGGATGTGTATTTCGACTTTTGACACTATATAAAATAAAATATATTAAATAATAAATATCGCTTTGAAAACAAATAGTAATTAAATTACAAAATACACCATTCGTACGCTCTGAGCGAGTTTAAGCGATAAAACAGGGTGCAAACGGCTCTCTCGCTTTATCGCTTGAACTCGCAGTTCGCCTCTTTCTGTCTCTTGAGCAATAGCGTATGAAAATGGTTGCAATGGTTTATCGCTCGATCTCGCCCAATATAAGGGCTGACATCAGCCCTAGAGTTGGATGAAAATCCGCCAATAGCTGGGGATCTAAGTGCTTTCCGGGATTTATGCAGCTCAATCCTTTCTCGATGGAATGGAGGGATTAAGGTGGGATAATCGACGGGTATACGATAGTCCGTAACTACACAGTAGTCCCACAAGCGTCAAACGGCATAAATCCAACTTGGTATGTCCATACTTAGTTCTTTTTCATAGGCGCGCCTCAAGTAGACTGATTGCCGATAGCTTGGCTACCTTGACCAGAGTCCGTGGAAATTTCCCAGTGAAGGCAATTGCTACATCATATGCATAGGCGTTAACTTTGAAACCGCCACGTTTCAGAAAATGGGGGAGAATACACCTCCCTGGGAAGTGCCTCTCCTGACGAATCTTTGAATAGATTCTCCTCCTAGTGTCGCCTTAACAGTCTTGCTTACCAGGATCTGCTTTATTAGGTGTTCGGATTGATCGAGACTTTCCACTTTCTTGAGGAAGAAAGACGACCTGTTCTGAATCTTCAGAACAGTAATCTTGCTGTGAAGATTTTCCTGATTTATAACCTCAAATTAGTCCCGGCTTTAGTTAATTGGGCCGGGAAGATGCCATCCGGTCTTAGAAACTTAAAGGGCTTAAAACTTTTTATCGCCTAGTTGAGATTCCTTTAACTTAGAAGCTATTCGAGCTGACTCGAGTCTCCCTGTCCCCTCGATTTCTGGATTGTTATCACCTGAAAACACCCTGGGAAATGTGCGCTTGTGAGAGTCCTAGGATTTCTTTGCTGGACGTGGTCCAACTACCATCCGAGGTTTTAATCCTACATTGGGTGCAGGGGTTGTGAGGGCCTTCCTAAGGCGGGAGGCCTTCGAAGTCCCCTGGGTGCTTGTGCAAAACTTGGTCAAGGCATTCCTCTTTTCTCTACGCAATTTCTTGTTATACTACTTAAGGTCCGCGCAAGTGTTGGCAACCACCATGGTGGTTTCTTTGACTTGATACTGCCCGATCTGCTTTTGAGACAAACCCTATTGAATGCCTTGGCGTGCCTCTATAAGCCACCTTTTGATTTTCTAGTCTAGTTTCTAGTCATCTAGTTTGATTTTGTAAGCCTTCCAGTTTGCCTTCCTAGGATTTCGAACGGCTAACTGAGCGAAATTTACGAAATTGACCACTAATTCTATGTATCGGTGATTCGATAAGGAGTGTTTCTCTTGGACTTTCTATCTTACTCGATAGAGTGCAAGGCTGTGTGCTAAAATATTGTCCTTGGGCACTATGCAAAAATCTACATAGACTTTTCAACTTATCTTTGGAAACCTAGATTTTTTCTCGTATAAAGAAGATATTATTTATAATTCCCTTCCACAAAAAAGGGGAAAAGTCTGATGCTGCCAACTACAAAGGCATCTCTAAATTGTCGATAATTCCAAAATTATTTGGAATCACTTGGAAAAATTATTCACCCCTCCCTTGCAACACCTTTGCTTTTCGATAATTTTTCCATATCAGCATGGATTTATTCGGCGTCGCTTTAATACTTTTTATTTATTGGAATTGACATCCTTTCTTATAGATGGCTTTGAAAGGGATTTCTAACTAATGTTAGTTTCGCAGACTTCAGTAAAGCATATGATTCAGTCAATCACTCACTTCTGTTGATTAAACTGAGTCCCCTGGGATTTTCTACAGACCTCTAAACGTGGATATTTAGCTACTAAGATGAAAGAAAACACAAAGAGCACAATCATTTAAAAATGTACATTCCCGCTTGGTCCGTGCTACATCTACTCTTTTTATAAATGACTTGGCCAGTGCTTTAACCAACTCTCTAGTACTCATGTATGCATATGATGTTATGCTTTGTCTCTAATACAATTCCGTTTAGCCCAATGCAAACTTCAGTCCGATCTCGACAATTTGAAAAAAAAAATGATCAGCGAATGATTTAATACTTAATGGACCAAAATGCAAGCACATGACTTTTTATGGTTCTGTTTCTCTCCAGGCTACGTATTTTCTCTATTGAAAGATCCTTAGAAAGATTAACTCAGGTTTGAGATCATTGTGTCCTTTTAGACTTAAAACTCAAATTTGGGACCATATTCGTTAAGGCTGAAGGTGTCCTTGGTTTTATTAAAAGGTGATTTTAAACATAAATTTGTTTCCTGGTAATCTTCCACCCTTTACCTTATCCTTCATATATATCTCCGCGAAGCAATATGTGGGTGTCATGTACGTTATGTGAAAGCGTTCACATCGTTCAGGAATTGAGCTATTCATATTCAGTAAAAACGGCGCGAAAAAAAAATAAAACAAAGAAAATATAAACAGAGAAATTAGACGTAGAAAAGAGGTAGAAAGTAGTGGTAGTGGCTTGACTGACATCGAGACACTTTCAAGTGTTTTCAAGTAAATTTTTGTATGAGCCGCACCGTTGAAATTCGGTGTCCATCCATGAATTTCACGCTTAATTTATAATTCTCACATCTTGAATTGATTCCTACCAATTTTCCTACCAACCGCTAAAAGAGCAGAAAACCAATGATACAAGGAATATATGAAAAAAAAAAATTCCTCCACTTGCACTTTACATTCGTATCTAATTTTTCGTATAATCTATTTTTCCCATTTTTAGAGTAATTTTTCCGTTGGTCGTTTACCTTACAACTGTCGTCGTGTATATATGCTGGATTTTGGCTTAGCGCGTCAATATACCACAGGCACGGGGGAAGTGCGATGTCCAAGAGCAGCAGCTGGTTTTCGCGGGACTGTTCGATATGCTTCCATTAATGCACATCGTAATAGAGAAATGGGACGACATGACGATTTGTGGTCTCTTTTTTACATGCTTGTTGAGTTTGTAAATGGACAATTACCTTGGCGTAAAATAAAAGACAAAGAACAAGTTGGCTTAACAAAAGAGAAGTATGATCATAGAATATTATTGAAGCACTTGCCTTCAGATTTAAAGCAATTTCTGGAACATATACAATCCCTAACTTATGCCGACCGTCCAGATTATACGGTAACTGCAATAATGACTACAAAAAAACATTTACTTTTTATCAAAAATATATATTTATTTTTTTAATAGATGCTTATCGGACTATTTGAGCGCTGTATGAAAAGGCGGGGAGTCAAGGAGTCTGACCCATATGACTGGGAAAAGTTAGACCCTACAGCAATTGGTAATATCACTTCAACAGTTGTTAATACCTTAGCTGCTGTTAAAACTGATTATATTCATGGAAATTTGACACAAATGACCGTGGCAGCTTCTAACGCGAGCGGGACCGAATACGTAAGTATAAAAATTTCTGTCATATACTTTATAGTGAAAAATAGTGAAAAATTTTATATTTCATTGAATCGAACACTTTCCATGACAATCCTATTCCATCCTATTGTTTTAACATCTAACTTTGCGTTTTTTATTTTCTTTCAACCAGAATTCAAATTTTGGTTATGATGTTTTTTGTTTTGATGTTTTAAATGGGGTAGTATAATAGAAAAATAAAGAAAACCGTTTCATCATTTGAACCAGGTTCGAAAGCGGAATGACATTGAAACTGCTCATATTACAGCAACTGAACCCGTACAAATAAAGGAAAAAGTAAAAGACTTAAAACATGAAACATTTGAATTTTTTTTTAATGTATTGTATACGTTTCAGGTTGATAGAAATTGTAATGCCAGCGCCTCAATCCCTCATCCAAAACCTTTAGTCGAAGCCACATCTCAACATGGAATTAATAATCAAAATACACTTAGGAAAGAATTGTTACACGAAACACATGGAACGCCTAATACCCAAAACGCACTGATAAAGTCATCAAAGATGAGTATTGGTAAAAATGATAACCAGGAAATAATAAATACAAAAAACTCTCAGCCGATAATTCCACCGGAATCACTTTCAACAAATAACCAACACAACTCCGCCCCTGTTTATGGAAATTCCGTAAGTCTTACGGGTCATTAACTTAAAAAAAATAATTTAATATAATTTGAATTTATTCACAGTATTTAAATTCAGAGGCTCAGAAGTGTGAATGTCTTTTAGTGGAAAGTGCTTTAGAGCAAAATAAACCGGCCACTAATCCCATAGAAAGTACTACAAAGTCTTCCCTTGGTGTTATTAAAGAGGCACAAAAATCTCAAGAAAAAAAACAGAATTCTCCAAGCTTTACCGATGAACAAAAACAAAAATTAGAAGTTTTAGAAAAATGTGTCGATGGAAAAAAGTCACTCGATGAACAAAAAGCAATGTTTGGACGACTTCGAGTTCTTACAGCGCCGCCTATGAGTGTACATGAATTGACTGTAGGTGGGGGACATTCTAAAACAAACGAAAATGAGCCAAATCTCCTTCTCGCAGCTAGTACTAGCACTGGTGTGACCGGAAACACTTTATCATCGAAACTTATCAATCAACATGGACAAGCTGTACCGATAGTTTCAATACCACCAGTAAACCGGCGTTCTGCCACATCTACAAATTTACGACCATCTTCTTCTGGAGGAGGCTCGAGTTCTATTCAAAGATTTAATAGCGGATCAACCTGCTTTGTACCTTCAGGCACTATGAGCAATGCAGCCCGAAGCAGTGGTTGTGATCATTCAGTCACGCAATTCGCTTTAATAGACGATGAAAACGTGTCAGCATTGCAACAGGTAACTAGAGGAGGTGCTCTTACGCTTGCATCTCAATGGAAAAGCCAGTTCGATGACTCTGAGGACACAACCGATAATGAATGGAACAGAGAACCCCAGGTAAATCATCTTTACTCATCTCAAAATAGCCAGCGTTTGGTAGCTCTAAACATTAGTTGAATTCGTTTTCGAAATCAAATTTAAAATTTAAGCTTGAATAAAAATAATAAAAGTTGGCCCGTTGCCACCGTCGTCGCGTCTATCGTTGGTATCTTCTCTCTGCTCGATCTCTGTAGTTCTCTCTGCAAACAGCTTCCAGAACTTATTATCGGTATCTTGAAACCCATGTTTCACGAACTGGTTTTGTGTAAAAAGTGCTAAACGCAGTGAAGAGAAATTTCCTACCCAATAAAGTATATATATTGTTGATCAGGATCACCTCCTGATTTAATAAAAGCATGTTCGATGGTCTGCCTATCACACTTTTTTTTCCTTTGCATGCAGTATATAAATCGGAAGAAGTCGGATCCCCCGACTACATCCTATGGCACTGTGCCCACAACTTTGTTATTATACCCTTGCAGAGGGTATTATAATTTTGGTCAAAAGTGTGCAACGCAGTGAAGGAGATATCTCCGACCCTATAAAGTATATATATTCTTGATCAGGATCACCTCCTGAGTTGATATCAGCATGTCTGTCCGTCTGTCTGTCTGTTTCTACGTGAACTAGTCTCACTTTTAAAGCTATCGACTTGAAACTTTGCACACACCCTTCTTTCCTTTGCACGCAGTATATAGGGATCGGCCGACTATATCCTATAGCTGGTATAACTGGTAATGGTATAACTTTGGTGTTTTTAGAGTTCGAGTTGTAATTAATTGGTTTTATTATGATATTCTCATAAGGATCGGCCAACTGTATCCGATGTTTGCGATATATATCCGGTTTTAGCTGCAAGAGAATATCAACTTCGGCTCCACCCGAAGTTAGCTTGCCTTACTTGTTTTTGGATTGTATTTTCTAAAGGTTCTTGGCGAATTGAAATTTCTTTTCAGCTGCCATAGCACTAAGCTATTTGAAGCGACCCAAATTTGGTATTTTTAAAGACGAAGGGTTGGTATGTTTACAGTGAAACTTTACGCGGTACTCGTAGAGCACAAGGGTATATTGCATTCGTTTGAATGTATGCAACATAGAAAAGAAATTATCTCCGACTCCATATATACATATATATATTCTTGATCAGGACCAACAGCCACGTCGATATAGCCATGTCTGTCTATCCATATAAAAGCGTGCATCTGAGATATTATTAGCGACAAAGCTGTAGGATTCGGCAGTTCAAGTGTGCTTCATATATTTTGCACTCCTGCCTTCACAAAAGTTTTTTGAAAAAGTGTCGATGATAAATTTTTTGTAATATTTCCCCACATTTATAACTTGACACGTTATGGTATTCAGACCCAGTTTGTTAAAAAATTTGGCACGCAGACTCCTGCTCCCAAGTTTATTCAAGTTTTTCGGAAATATTTTGATTTCAATTTATTTCATTTGCTAATTTTCAGCTAAAAACCAAAAGAGAGTCCAAGCTTTTAAACTTTAAATTTTAGTTAAAGTGTGGGTTAAAGAGATGAGTATGTATGTAATATGTACGTATGTACGGGTATGTAAACAGTCTACACCAGTCCTTTCTTATTTTAATGTTACTTTCATACTTTTTTATTTGCAAATGAAGCATAGCATGTTTGTTTTTCATTGCAGTCGCAACATAATTTGGAACAAATAATTAAAGTGGATATTTCATTGCCTCTGATAAATGAAGTCACTCACCTTACCAAACCTAGAACGACGTGTACAGGGAAGACATCTATATCAAAACTGGATGTAAAAAGCAGAAAAAAGAGGTAAATTTCGAGGCTTTCTAAAACTAAAAATTCCTTTACACTGTCTTTATTAATATCGTGCATCTTTAATCCAAATTTATAACAAGTATTATTTGAGTATTATTTTGAGTATTATTATCTGTATAATTAAAATGGATTTTTTTTAAAATAATTTGGACTCGTGTAATTTACGAAAAAAAATATCTAAAATTAAAGTCTATTATTTCGTATTTATAATATTTTCTCTTTAGAAAATATTGAACAAAATGTAACAAAAATATCAATATTTTCAATAAAAATAAAACCGATTGAAAAACTGAAACACTGGTGACAAACTCGCATTCTGCGCCTAAAATATCTGCCGAATCAGGTAGCAGTCACCTGCAAACTAAATTTAATTATTATGCATAAGTATTTAATCGCCTAAGATGGACGCAACACGACTCTTGTTTGGCCACTGGACGGATAAACGATAAAGATAAACGGTCATATCTTTAGAAAGTTTCAGCTCCGCATTGGCTAGGTCTCCATAAACTGGTCTATCTTCGGATCTTCCGAAGATCATCGGAAGATCATGTTTCATCTGCCTGCAGAATAAATAACTTATAATAACTGAAATCTGACTTTTTATTTTGGAGTGGAACAATGTTATTGAAAAATCTCAATGACCACAAAATATCCAGCACCAATTATGGCAAAAAAGTTAATTAATAATTAAATGTAAATAAAAATTAATTATCAGGTTAAACCACATTGATTTTTTATTTTTTTGTGCGAAAAGACTAAAAAGTAAATTAGCAATAGAAGGACTCCAAATCTTTTACGTTTACTTTCATTTATTCCAAGCCTAACTACTTTTGGAAAATATTTATATAAAAACTTGGTAATAAAATTTCATAATATATTTCATTTGGTATATAAATTTTGCATAAAGGAACACAAAACTCATCGGAATAACCATGAAAAGATTTTGATTCACTACATTGCGTCTAGTGGGGACACAGGAGTCTGTAGACCAGTGGTCGGCACCCAACACATTGATATGTTTTTTTTTTCGCGGTCTTTAAGAATTTTGGAAAAGGCTTGTGCATCAAAAAGTGCATCAGCTAGCATTCCTGCATTCATCATAAAGCTCGAGAAACGATTTATTAACATTTATTAAGCTTTTTGTTATTTGTTAAGTTAAGGTCAATTTGTTAAGTTAAGGTTATTGTTAATTTGGTCAAGGGCCTATCAACTACGTTGTTTAAATAATTAGTTAGTGTGTCTAAATTAAAGTTTATCCTATTAATACATATGTTCTTATAAATTTCTGTTATTTTTTTCCTCCCAAAGTTTGTTAAAGACAGAGTTTTTTCAGGTCATATTGATCATTGAGTTCGTCCGGAAGAAAATGTACTTCTCTAGTAAGCTAGAGAGTAGAGTATAGTCGCTGGAGGTTTATCATGTCATCATGTCATGCTTTGATGTCATCCCAACTGATGAGTACATCGCAGACACAGAGCGCTTTATCTGACCTGCTTTTAATTTTTTCAAAGATAGTTCCCTGCCAATCGCTGAGAAGGTCTAGTTGCTTCTGCGTGACAGCACCTGCCTCGAAAGCGGTCAGTAAGGAGGTGTAGTCCGCATAGGTGGCTGCCATTATATTGGGGCTCTGCAAGACTGAAGACTCCTTTTTTTAGCCCGCTGCAATTCTGACCATGCTTTTGGTCTTAGTCTCCAGACGTTGCCAGCGTTGTCCCTTCCCACATTTAGCGGAGGGTTTTCCGGATGGCTTGAGCTCCGGTCGATATTCTCAGCTATTGTAGATGCCAACCCATTTATCGGTCGAGTTGAGAAACTCCAGCGGCTGCGGTACTGCTTTCGTGATTTAGCGCTGGAAACAGATCGCTTAATGGAATTTACAGACGGAAACTATGATGAGGCTATGTATCTTTTAAATAAGTTGATTAGCAACCGCCGTCTTATATTTCAAGGGCATGTGAAGGAAATTTTGAATTTGGGATCAGTCAAAGTTTTATCATCGAGAGGACTTTTTGAGCTGTCCGATAAAGTCAACGTGCATTTTCGGGCCCTCTTTAACATGGGCTCCACTTATTGCGGGATGTATCATCGCCCAGGTGCTGCTGCAGACGCTGGAACCATCCGCTCAAGATAAAGTGAACGGGATGCAGGAGGAGCCGAAGACGTAAGACTGAATATGCGGTAATTTCAGACAATTTGGGAAAGGCTTAATATTTTCCAAAAATTTATTTGGAATCAGGGTTTTACCAAATTTTAATGGCAGAACAAGATATTGAAAAAAAACAAACATTTCTATAAAAAACGGATAATTCGACTTTTAACGTATGCCATATGGGTTTACAAATGCCCCCAAAACTTTTCTAAGAGCTATGGATGATATTTTAACTAGTTTAAAAATTGTTCATGTTTATATGGATGAATGGAACAACGATATAACTGACCTAGCAAAAGCGAGTATGAACATTTTCCTTGTAAAATCTAAATCTTTTAAACTATAAACCTCATTTTTAGGATACTTTGTTTCGCATATACAAATGAAACCGACCCTGAAAAGATTTATAATATTACAAGTTATTGGAAATTCCATAAAATCACCAAACCAATTTTTTCAGCTATAAAAGCTGTTGTATAAGACAGCAGCCGCTGAATTATTTTACAAAAGTAGTTTATTTATTATGCTTAAGTATGTACTTACATGTCGCCTTAGTTGTTCGGAAGCCGACTCCTTCTCGGCCGTTCGACTTCATTGAGCCTATCTTAAGAGAGCTTTAGCTCTGCAATATGTATTTCGAGCCGCCCTCTCCCCTATCAAAAGATTAAGCCTCACTTTCTGTCCATATCAATAAGTCACTGCATAGCATCATAAACTGGTCTACGAGGGTAGGCTGATAAAAAGTCTTACGGTCTTACAAAGTTTTTTTTTTTAATTTTGCTTTTTATTTCTCAACATAATCTCCTTTTAGACGTATGCACTTGAACCACCGATTCTCCAGATTCCAAAAACTTCCATAAAATAGGATTTGTCGAGGCTGTGGGGTCCCAAGGAAAATCGTTTAGTTTTAGTCGCAACGGCAGTCGGAAATGCTTTCACCCTAAGGTAGGGTGCTGAATTCAGCAAAAGGGAGCGCGATATAGACGCCTCGCTCCAACTCGAAGATGTACGAAACTAACTCTCTCTTTCTGGCGCGCTCAATGGTAAAGAACTGGGGGCCAGATATAAGGATCAGGAAAAGTTCCGTTACTGGAAGTTTTAGAGATTTTCACGGTCACGTAGCAGCGAATGTTAGCCTAGAACTTGTCGGTCATTTGAATTTGCGATCGAAAGGGAACAGACGCATTGAAATCGAGAAGAACCGATACCTAGCGTTACTGGACTCAGGGGCATCCATAAGTTGCATAGGTGGCAAAGCTGCTATTGAAGCTATTGAAGTGACAAAGAATTTCAAAGTGCGCAAGTGCTCAGGTAGGATTAAAACAGCTAACGACGCATTATGCAACGTCATGGGAAAAATAAGGACGGAGATAGTGTATTGGGATCTTAGAAAGTCATTTGAATTTTTTGTAATCCCAGATCTTAAGCAAGACGTCTATTTAGGCATAGATTTCTGGCGAGAATTCGGATTATTAGATAAAATTGTGGCAAAAGAGCAATTAGTATCGGAAATTGCAGAAGACAGAGAGGAGTCAGAGTGTGAAGTTCCCAAAATAATCGCGCTTTCAAAGACAGATGCTAGATTTGGTCATAGCTAGGTGACCCTCTTATGAAAGAAACGGCTTAGAGCAACGGTTTACGGGACTAGATATGAAACACGCGTTCTGGCAAATACCATTGGAAGAGAAGTCACGGCAGTACACAGCCTTCACTATTCCCAAAAGACCATTGTATCAGTACAAACTAATGCCTTTTGGTTTTTGCAACGCGGCTCAAACTCTGTGCAGATTAATGGACATAGTGATACCACCAACCCTGCGCACGAGAGTATTTGTATACTTAGACGATTTACTAGTTTTGTCAGAAGATTTCGAGTCACATTTGAAACTGCTCGAAGAAATCGCAAGCCATTTGCGAAAGGCAAACCTGACAATTAATATAGCCAAATCGAAGTTTTGCATGACTGAGATTAGATATTTAGGATATGTCATTGGGCACGGCCAATTGAAAGTCGACCCAGAAAAGGTCAGTGCGGTTGAGAACTTTCCAGTTCCCAACTCAGCGAAACAGCTGAAACGATTCCTCGGTTTATCAGGGTGGTACAGGCGTTTTGTGGACAACTACGCTACAATCGCGACCCCACTGACAGAACTTCTCAAAAAGAACAAGAAACTCGAATGGAATAAGCAAGCCGACGAGGCATGCAAGACGCTAAAGCAGATGTTGACGTCGTCACCAATTCTGCGGACGCCTGACTTGCAGAAACAGTTCATTTTGTCGAAAAATTGTCGAAGGCCCAACGCACCTATTCCGTTACGGAACTAGAATGTTTAGCGGTTATAAAGGGAATAGAGAAGCTTAGAGCCTATATTGAAGGGCAGGATTTCCAAGTCGTCACTGATCATGCCGCACTTTGGTGGCTTTTGAAGCAGAAAGACTTGAGAGGTCGGTTGGAAAGATAGGCTATGAAGTTACGCGGACTTAAATTGAAAATAGAACACCGCAAGGGCTCACAGAACATCGTAGCAGATGCATTGTCGCGTAGAGAAGAAGGAACAATAGAGGATATAATGGATAGTGGACCTATTATTGACTTAGATTCCAAAGAGTTTAATTCAGCGCAATACAAAGAGTTATGAGAAAAGAACAGAGCTAATCAAGACAGGTTGCCGGATTTTAAAATTGTCGACCAGTTTGTCTACAAAAAGACAAAAGCATCAAACGGAGATGAAGTGCAAGAACAACAAGCGTGGAAACTGTACGTTCCAGTCAACTTAGTTGACGATGTGATATCGCGAGGTCACAATCCTCCCGATTCGGCTCACATTGGCATGGCCAAGATGAT